GCAGGAGCTACCCCTCAAGCACCTGCAGTCAGGCACTGAAGTCTCTTTACTCCCACCAAGGATTTACTGCCTTGGGAGCAGCAGAGAAGAGTGACGTAGGCTGGAGGGTGAGGTGAAGGCACACAGCTCTCAGACCTGACCTGTAGTTCAACCTATTCCTCCTTCTCCATGATCACAAACTGAAGCTACAGCTTCCTCAGTTTTCAAGTTTCACAGTGTATGTTGGTTGTTAAGTTGCTGGCAAAGCTTAAGTTTCCTGCAAGACTAAATTATTACTTCTGGAAAGCATTAATACTCTTGAAAGTATGAGAGCCTGCAGCACATTTGTAATCTCCTTAAGAACAGTATCATATGAATATTACCACTGTTCTCACTAAAACATTGCTGCTAATGTTGGGAGAAAAGCATTAGTTCCTTCTTAGTTAGAGAAGGCCCCAGTGAGGAGCTTGTCATCAGGAAGATGCATGTGTCCCCAGCCTCCAGGCACCACATGGCCTTCCCTGTCCTCCTCCTGGTGCTCAGGGCAGCCACCAGCCACCTCTACCTTGCTATTAAGTCTTCCATTTTACATGCACGCATTTACTGTTCAGAAGCAAAGAAGGGCTGTCACAGCTTACCCAGCACTACTGCTAAATTCAAGCAACAGGAATCCAAAAGCCTTAAATACTGCTTTTGACACCTCTACCAACTAAGGCCTTCCTGACTTCACTCTGTTTCAGAAGCAATCCAGAACTCGGAGCAGCTCCAGCACCATCCTGGCCCCAGCACAAGGCAATGGCCTTTACTAAGTGGCTGCCACCCTAGAAATGGGTGCTGTGTCATAAACCTACTTTCACCAGATCAGCATGACTGAAGCTTAGACCTGTGTGAACTCAAGGATAACTGAAAGTGGAACCTCACTGTTTAGGTTCTCAAAAACTAAGGTTTACTGCATGCGTAATACACAACTGCATGCTGCATTTCTAAGTACAGCTGCTTTAGGAGCATTTAAAGCATGAGGTGCCTATATACAGACCTCAGGAACCAGATGAACAGTGCTACATGGGCCATGATGTTATACTTCTAACAGTTTAAATCCAACAGAAATGAAAACAAACTACAAAGCCTTACTGAAGTCTATTTCCAGACTGAACTCAGCTGATGGAATAAACAGCTTTCACTGCTCTCATGTGTCCAAGTCACACAGGTTAATTTTGGTGTTGGCTCTGAAGTGCAACGACCATTTCTGATGCTACTGAGTTCTGCTTTTCAGGACTGAAGAGTTTGGTCACTGGCTCTTAGAGCACATAAAGCCTTGGTAAAGCTGGCTGAACACAAGCAATACAGTGTCTCCACACCACTTCGAAGTGACATGAATTCAGACTGATCATTCAACCATCTCTCATTATGTATATAAGCAGGCATACTTAGCACCCATACCAGACAGCACACTGGAGGAGAATGCACAGCAAGGCAGGCAGGTACAGCAAGTACAAGGGAGGTTCTTCTATCCTCATCAGGAAGAGGACATGCCAGCCTCTTGACAAACAGAAGGGTTGGATAATACTAAATTCAACTGCCTGCTGCAAAAGATGAGATCTCCAAAGAGAACTGTCACATCTGAGTGGAGAGTAGCACTACCACAGATTCTCCATGCCATGGCCAGGAAGTTCAGGACAGATGAGGCCAAAGTCGCACAGAATGAAGAAACTGCATGCCTACGATATTGTTGTTAACCCAGGAGTAAGTGTCCTTTCTTTTCCTAGGATCAGGAAGGTTTTATCCCAAAACAGACAAGACAAGGTAGACATCCAACCCCTACAGGGAACTGCTGGAATCAGCTTTAATCACTGATGTCAGCAGCAGGGTTATTGCAAACAGACACAGCAGCCTCCAATTTTCTGTCTTTGTTCCACCATCCAAGAAATGCTGAAGAGAAGCATGACTACCACTGATTACCCTCTGTTTGTGGAAGCAAATAGAATTGGAAGACAATGCTACTCTGCAACACACACTGTGGTTTAGAAAAGTTAGAACACATGACTCCAGATGTCTCCAGCAACCCAAAGCTGTCACTCAATCATCATCCACTGAGTTCCACCATACAAGATGAAAAGCCCACACAGGTATTTGGTAACACCTCTGAATACTATAAGCAAATATATTCCACAAACATTTCCTTATTCCCCTTCCAGATCCCTAGCATGAAATCCAGACCTGACATAGCACTCAGCAGGATGAGCTCCTAACACTGCTGACCTGCTCACCCTGCGGCATTCACACCAGCCAGCCTGCTGCACACAGGTTGCACAACGGGTAGGAAGCACCAAACCCAGCAAGACCTTGACACTCAAGCCAAGATGGACGCTTTGCTTACTTAAACACCACAGCGGGGGAGGAACACAAAGGAACACAACCCAGCACTGCCCAGACAGATGTTTTGAGAACGTGGCTTCACAGACACCACAGCAACATGTCAGCAAGCTCTCCTTCACTCAGAGGGAACAGCACACTCATTATACCACTAAGCTGTCTTGGAGCACCGAAATTCCAAGGAAGCTCCCAGAAGCACACAATCCCTGCAAGCTCTGACACCATGCTTCTAATCTCATGGCTTTTTAAATAAACCAAATGAAGAATGCAAGTCTTTTTCACTAAAAACATCTGACCCACTGATGCCTGATGGAGTTCTGGCATGCCAGGGAAGGAGGGTGTGGGGCTGTGGTAAGGAAATGAATATACATTACAGGCAAGGCACTGCTAGAAAGACAAATAGACACCTGCACCTGTTGCAGATGAACTATAAAGAAGAAGGTTCTAGCCCCATCAGTCTTACTTCTGGTTTAATATTGATCAAAGTATACTACAGGGAAAGAAAATATCTGTCAATCTCACTGTACTCTTCCCATCTCTTATCCTCATCCGGCAGAGACGGCCCTGTCAGGAAGTGACACTTTAATATCACAAGTTAATCTTAAACTACAGCCTTTCCTCTTCAACCCGCTTTCAAGAGCTCAACGGCCCTCATCATCAGGATGAAATGTGCTCTGCAGAGAACAAGTCTCCCACAAAATATTCTTTCAACTTCAGAGCAGCATTCAGTACCTCCGTGCAGGAAACCATCCTCTGTATCAGCTGAGAGCCTTCCCTAAGGTCAGAAAGCTAAGGGAAGAACCCTTTCCTCCCCCAGCTCCTCACATCCTGGCATGGCACTCTGCAGGCAGCCTCTGGCTCCAAAATCTGATGGTGTATAGGATGAACTCAGCTGGGACCTTGGAATCTTTCACGGCCATAAAGGCACCCAGCACTCGTTGGTTGCTCACCCACTGACTGCATCCTGCTGCTGTTTTCACGTTTCCTGAACCCACACCAGCAGGCTTGTTATGTAACCTTGCCAAGATGTAATCTGAGTTGCTGGCTGTACCTCTTGGTTTTCACAAACTATCTCAAACTAGATGATAACTACTTTGCCTTCTGTTTCTCTTTGCTCTTCAGGTGATTTAATGGGCACAGAGTGCTCGCAGTCAGGCTGCCATGTACCGGGAGCACAAACCACGGCCAAGCAAGCCAGCACTGTGAGAAAAAGTAAGCTCCAAGGACTGAAGTTGGTTGAGTGTCATCTGGAGCAGCAATGCCATCCAACGCACGCAGCTCAGCACCAGAGCCACTCTGGTTACATCAGAGGGCACAGCAACTTCACCATCCCAACCTTTAGCACTGGCAAAACCAACACTGAGGAAAGAACCCTAAAAACACTCTCCAGTACTACAGCAGGTTTCAAAAATTTTTTTTTTTTGTTAGCTCTTCCCAAGTTTCTCCTGAAGAACTCCTCCTCGTGAAGAACCACGAGCAGAGCGACGGTCCCTGCGGCCCCACGGGAGTGGTGGTTGGGGGGGGCACTGAAACCGCTCTCACCGCCGCCAGGCTGCGGCAGCCCCCGGCCCCGGGGGGGGAGGGGAGGGGGGAGGGTGGACGAGGAAGGGGGTTGCACAGACAGACCGCTAGCTCCGGCAACCCGCCGGAAAGCCGTGCCACCTTCGGGCTGACGACGGCCGTTTCAATACCGAGCCCCGGCGTTGCAAAACCCGCAGAGGCTCGAGGTGTTTTGCAAGAGCCATGTGACACACACATGACTCGCAGCTAAGCGAAGGGCGGACCTCCGCCTGCCGAGCCGGCGGCCCGGATCGGCTTTCACAAAGCGCCGTTCCCCCGCGGCCCTCCGAGGCCCGGCTGCGATCGCACGGCAGCCCCGCCGTCCCGTCCCCGCGCACCGCCCGCCATGGCCGCGGCGTTCCGCCGCCGCCCTTCAGCCTCGCGGCCGCGCCCCGTCACCCAGGGCCGCGGGGAGGCCGCCTGCCGGAAGGCCCCGCTCCGCACGGCCCTCCCGCCACGGCCCGCTCCCCTCCGCCCGCTCTCCCGCCGCCGCCCCCGCGCCCCGCACTCACTATTCGGGGTTCATGCTGGACATGTCCGTGGGGCCCGCGGCCCGAGGGACGGCGAGAGCGCTGTGAGGGGTGGCGGTCGCGGCCTGGCACCTCCCGCCGCCGAGGCGGGCGCTCCGCGGATGCAGGCGTCCAACGGCTCCCGCCTTGTCTCGGCGCTCGGCTCGGCCTGCCCCTCCGCCGGCGCCCTGCCCGCTCCGCGGCCTCCGCGCTCGCTCCTCAGCCCAAAATGGCCGCCGGAGCCCAACCAGGAAACGGGGCGGTGCCTCGCCGAGCGGCGCTTACATGGCCGGGGGGCGGCCGCGGGGCACGCCGGGAAAGCGAGTCCGCGCCCCGCCCGCCGCCCGGCACAGATGGCGGCGGCGCCGGGGGGCAGAAGACTCGCTTTCCCGGCGGCCCCCGCGGCGGCGCCGGCGCATGCGCGCGGACCGGCCTTTCTTCCCTCGGCCCCGTCGGCGCGGCGCGGCGGGCGGCGCTGCGCATTGGCCGCGGAGGAGCCGGCCGGGGTGACGTCGGCGGGCAGACGTGGCAGCCCGGGCGAGCCGGCGGGGCGGGGCCTGGGGGCGGGGCCGCGGCCTGCCGAGGCCTGGCTGCCGTTGTGGAGGTGCGACCGCGGTGCCTACAGGGCCGGTACGCCATGGAGCGGTATGGCGGCGCTTCCACAGGCGTTCCCACCAAGGCTCTGCCCTTCCTGACCGCGCAGGTCGCTCCGACGTCGTGCTGGGATTGCGGTCCCAGCGGCTCCACATGATTGCCTGGGGAATGTCGATCCCCGACCACACGTTAGCTGGCGTCCCTTAGTTACAAAGGGCGCCGTGTAACGCGTTGACCAAAGTTTATCTTCCAGGCGGCTCAAAGGAACAACCCGCAAACCTGCGTCCCAGGGCAGCGCTGCCATGGCGGCAGAGCTCAGTGCCCACAGGAGCTGATCCTCTTGTTTCCCTACAATAAGACTGAGGAGCTGCTCGTGCCCCACGCGGCTCCGTGTCTGTAGCACGGTTACGTTGATTTCCAGAAGGGAAGTCAACAAAGTGTGCCAGCTGAAATGGGAAATGCCGAGCGTTGGTTTTAAAAGCTCTGGGCTTCCTTTGCTTGGTTGTGTTGGTTGTCAGACAGTGACCTCCGTGTGGATCAGTCACAGTGCTGTGCGTTCTGCTTTCGTGGTGGCCATCATGGAAGGCTCCGCTTCCCTTTCCCTACATGGTGTACATGTGAAATAATACTTCCCACCCCTCTTTTTTAATGCACACCACCAGAAATGCACTGAAGCCTCTGAAATTCTGTCTTTTCACCCAAATTTCTCTCAAATAGCATATTTGAGATGCTCAGTGTGAGGTGACCAGAAGTGTAGGAACATCCCAGACAGAATATTGACAGAACGTTGTTCTCTGCTGACACAAATTGATGTTTGTATTATTAACATTTTAACACTTCTGCCTTTTTTTGTGTGAGTGTTGAAACAAACAGCTCCAACCACCCCAATGCCTTGTTCTGTTTTTCTCAGGAGTTATGCTGACAGGCCACAGAAAAGAGAGTTGTGCCATACTCAGTGCAGTAGAAAATCAGCAAACTCAGAGCAGACACAGGAACAAACCAATTCTGGCTGTAGCAAACTACGAAAGCTGCAAATTAGATTTGCTTCTGAAGTAGGGCACAGGTTAATAAGAATGTGGGATGCTGCTTCATCGCAGAGAAATAATAGTTTCTGTGTCTGAGAAAAGCATATTTAATCTGTACGACCGAAGCAGTGGCACAGCAGGCAAGGTAACCTGTCACTGCAGGTTGCCTATCTGCTCTGAGAGGGCAGAACTACAGGATGTCTGTTGGGAGGTGCAGGCTGAGGTCATCTGTTGCTGTCACAGTTCCGTACCTGTTGGACTGGATGAGCAGGCTGGGACCACTGCCTGCTTTCCAGCTGGGATGGGAGCAATGATTTATTGTCTGTGTCACAGTGCATCCTGTTCCTTCTCCTTCATTAAGTGGGTATCATGGTGCATCCTGAACACCATGAACCACTGGATAGTCCAAGAGGCCCACCCTGTCTCTTACTAAAAGGAGCATAACGCAAGCAGCGGTATCATGTGCTGGCTGGGGAAACATTATTCATATACCTTCAGGGCTGAATTCTGCTTGTGCCAAATATTTTATCCTGTTAGTGAAATCAGCTGCAGAATTTCCTTTGGCTCCAGCTGTACTGTGCTACCAGAGCAGCCTAGGAAAAAGCATGAGCACAGATTGCCTTGAATTGTAATCGTCCTCCCTGGTTCTGTGCACCTTGGATCACTATCTTGACTCAGTAACTTCTGTTTTTGAGGTTGAACTCCGCTGGTTCTGACTGCTGTCCCAACTTGGGTTACAGGCTGGGGCCTGCCTTCCCCGTTTCCCATCTCTCTCCTCCGTAGGCAACAAAAGGTGCCCATGGCAGCTGCTGCTCTGGGAAATGAGGGTGGAAAGGGGACAAGACACAGCTTAGAGAGTGGGAAGAAGAGAAAGAGCAATCTGTGATGGCTGCAGGCAGATGTAAGGGGGGAGAGGAAGGAGGCAAAGCAGCACAAATGATGGTGGAAGAATGCAACAGCTGCATAATCCATTTCTGAGCACAGATGTTGCACTGCAGTATGGAGCTCATGTGCCTGCTCCACTGCAGTGCTGACAGTGGGACTGCGAGGGTAGCACCCCTACAGACTGCAGAGAGCATTGAGCCTGCAGAGAGCATCGAGCTGCATGAGGTTCACTCCTTCCTGTTCTGCTTTCATTTCATACAAAAATGTTCTATCTTTTTAGCTATATCATCGTGCCACACCCTCACAGGGCAAGGGCTGGTTTCAGGTCTGTTGTCTACCAGCTTTTAAACAATTTTTACCTTTGTCTTGAACCAAAGGTAGGGAGAATCAGGCCTCTGACTCAAATACTGCCTTCCCACAAAGTTGCCATGTTAGCACAGTGGTGTTCAGATATCATTTGGCCTCTGCCAGTGTCCTTTTCCCTAGACCTTGTGTAAAATGAAAATAAAAAATAAAACTATTTCTCCACTTGTCTTCCTCTGCTCTTCCTTCTCCCTCCCCTGCTCAGTGTCTGGTACATGCTGTGGGAAGGTCACAGGCTAACAAATGCGCAACAACCAGACTGAGAAGCTCAGGTACCAGGAATACACAACAGCGAGCTGAGTTGCTACAGATGGCTGTTTTGATACTGGGAGTCCTGGGGAACAAACAAACACTGATTTGGGCTTATCAATAGCAGTTCGTCTCTCCTGTACTGCTCACAATCCTCCCATATATTTAATCTTTCTGCAGTGCTTTTCAGATGCCGATGTTTTTCTAACAATACAACCAGTCCATTCCAGGTGTGCTGGCAGCACATTGAAAGTGGTATTGGCACATTCTTCTCCTCCTTGTGAATTCTTGATTTAGGAAATAAAGGTCAAAGGAGAAGCATGTAGCTGTTGGGCACCACTGAGAGGGAAGGAGTCAATGAACCATATTTAGGTGTAGTCTGATGACAGAAGAACAGAACTGGGGAGGGAAATGGTGTTCTGGAATCTTTAAAAAGAGCTGTTCCACTATCACACATTGCTTCTCAGAGGAGATAGGTAACTTCATGGTGTAATGGAATTTACTGGTCTGCGAATCATCAGTTCAGCCCTACCTCTTGTTTCTGCCTGGCATGGCCTGTGCTTCTTCATCCTGTAGTGAGGGGAACGGGGCCAGAGGTTTCACCTCAGTTCTGGTTGCAGACAGAAACAAAGTAGGTACAAGTAGAATCAAGTGTCACGAGCATTTCGTGGGATGTGAGGGACATTCTCCCAGGAGAGCAGACATCTATCTCTGTTGGGAAACTTCTGGAAAGATGTCTAGCACCTTGTTCTGGCTCCTTTCTTCAGAATCCAGGCTTCATTTTGCTTCAGTACTGTGGTGAGCACGTAGGAGTTTTGGGGGTAACTGCCATGCAGATTTGAAATAGAAGATTATATTAAATGGAATATCTATTAACTTTTATACCTTTCTTTATGTTGTTCTTGAGTTTGCATTGTTGGCATCGTTCAGATCTTGATTTCCCAACCTTCTGCAAAACTGACAAGACCACATGTTGTATTGCACGAGCTGCCTGGAGGAAGCCACTGGAGCTTCAGCTGCACAGGCCTACTGGAAGCAGCTGAACACAGCCAGCTCAGGGCAGGAATTGAATGCACCTGCTAAAATCGTAGAAAAAATAAGGTTGGAAGAGACACCAAGAGACAACTGAGTTGTATCCTCTGCCTAAATTGTATCTATTTCAATCCAAATAACTGTTTTCTTAAAAGCTTCCAGAAGTGGCAATTCCAGTGATCCCTTAAAGAGCCCACAAGAAATCTAAAAAAGCTCAGTGGTAAAACCAGTGATAAATTAAGCAGCTCAGGCTTTCAGTTACGGTTGCTGGTGAACATTTTAATTAATAAGCTACATCCTGGCCATCTTTTTGATCATAATTTTCAGTGCCACAAAAGATAAAGAAGAAAGAGCTCAAACTGATGTGCTCAGTGTCTGTGGCTCTACACCATCCAAGGATGGGTTCTGTATCTTGTTTTTGTCATGGCAGCTCAGCCTGAGGACCACAGCTGTGCGACAGGAGGTTGGACCCTGATGCACCTGATGCCCTGCCCACAGATCTGGTTCCCTTCTTGGAAATGAATTCTTTCTTACTAATGCAGACTTCAGCTGATTGCCACATAAACACTGGGGCAGAGTACTGCTAGAAAGCTCGCTTGAAAAAGGCCCAGGAACAACAGGAAGTAAAACCACACTGGTTTGCTTAGTGGGGATCATAGTACTCTTCACAGATAATGCCAAAGGCTATCTCCTGCCTCTGACTCAAGCATTTTGCAACCAAGTGGAGATAACAGGGTAGTGCACAATGGAATTTGGTCTCTGTGTTCTGTGCCTAGGTATCTATTTGTATAAGAGTTTAATTCATCACACCAGTTAGCATCTAAATGCTCTGGCATGTATTCATCCAACAGGGCTGGCATCTCCCTGCTTGGCACAGATGTTATTTAACACTGACACTGATTTAATACCAAAGGTTGTTGTATAGAGTTTTGATGCCAGGGCACTGGAGGAGAGCTTCATCCAGTTAGACTGACAGGCTGCAATTTCTTTATACATCTGTATGGCATCTAGAAGTGGGCAAAGGATACATTTCTAGCAAACAATAGCAAATCAAATCAGTGTCTGTACTTTCTTTCATCTTCCACTGATCATCCTTTTTCTTCAATATCAGCTTTTTGGGCCATCGTTCTCCCTACTTACCCATCACTAACAACTTCACTTCACTTGGTATGGGGCATCTGTTAGCAAGTTTGTGAAGCTGCTTGCATGTCTTTGTACTGCTTAGTTGTGTGTTGGGAGAGAGCATCTCAGACTTCTGTGATTAAATGTGGATCTGCAATTGCATAGTTGACTGTCTCATGGAATTATCAGTTTTCACAGTGGCTAAAGATGCAGGGAGGAAGGAGGAGCCACCTCCCACATGATGCATATCTTCACGAGGAAAGGACAAACAACTTCAGCCCAGCTCTACAGGCACTTTCCTCTCTCCAGACAGGATTATTTTGGACTCCTGCCATGTCAATGATTGGATACGCAGTTGGAGAAATAAGTTACAGCTCAAAGGTGCCACACTAAAGAAGCCCCCCAACCCCCAAACACAGTGCATGCCATGCTTGGGCCCCCACAGTCTTCCAAACACAAAAATCTTCCTTACAACTCTGTGTTTTTCTTGTTTCTACTTCTTATAAGTATCCTGCTATATTTCATGCCTAAAAGAGACAATAGGAAAGATATCAACTGGAAGGCATAGGATCAGTCAGCAAGGACATTTAGTCTACCTAAAGTTCTAAAGCACACCTCTCCTTGATGCTGAATCATTCTGTAAACAGGTGCATTTCACCTCAAGAGTTATACTTTGTTAAGTATTATGGAATTTGGAGAGATCTGAAAATATGCTTACGTAACAGGTTTATCCTATCATACTGTTGATAATTGCATACCTTCCTTGGCTGGCAGACTAAACTGTGAGTAGTTATACACTGAATTGAACTAGCAAACAACAGAAAACCAGATGGGATTCATCTGTTATCATTGTTATTCAGCATTAATCCTTACATGTAACAGAAACGCAGCGAGAAAGCTTGGGCTCTGTGTCTGTTAAGAACCAAATGCCTTCATCCTAACACAGCACATCTGTAAGGCTAGCTTACGGATCTGTAATTGACAGCCTTTACTCCAATTCCTTCAGCTGGCAGATGAGGATTAAGTATCATCCCTATTATTTCAGATCAAATCTCGTAATTCCTATTATCTGTATCATACAAGGATAGACACCACTACAGTCCTGTGAGGAGGGTGGTATTGATCAGTTTAATAAAATCTTCGATGAAGCAAAGAACAGTTTTTGAACTGCAAAATGCTTTGAATTTTGGTAACAGATTTTGAAAAAAGAAATAAAATAAATAGAGGCTGCATTCAGCTTAAAACTTCAATCAGCGAATTCAAGTGATAAAGCTCACTATCATGGAACAGCCAAGACAAGAAATAAGCACTAAATAGATTTTTTAGTCCACAGAAGGTGGATTCTAAATTGTCTTTAGAAACTTAAATAATTAGACTAGTTTCCAGGTATACCAAAAAAGATTCTTGCAGATCTCAAATGACTGCTTACCACTGTGAGTGAGGAATGGCCAGTGTAGCTTACAAGTCACCAGTGGATTTTCCTGTAAGATATAATCTTCTATGACGGGTAGGGTTGTTGCACAAATTCATCCATGCTGTCCTTCTCCTGAGATCAGACAATATGGAAGAGGCATTGATGAGGCAGCTCCAGTTTCTTCCTAAAAGCAGACAAAAGGAGACAGAACAGATATATAATTCCAGGATCTATAAATTAACCACTAAGGATTAAAGAAAAAAAAAGAAAGAAAATATTTACATTCCACTGGTAACAGTGGTGAAAAATAATTAGAAAGAATGTTATTCAAAATCAGGAACTAAAATTATTTATAGCTATTTAAAGATGAAGTAATAAACAATTAAACACAATCAGTTCCTGCACGCACTGCCTATGTTCATTAACTAATGAGATTCTTTCTGTACTGTGGAGAAAACAGGTCACATTTTGAACACATGAGATTATTCAGATGCAGCTTCTATCTAGCACAATACTGTCCCATTTAATATTCATTCCATGGCTAGTGTTCAGTGTCCAAATACAAAACTTGCTAATGGTTCAGAAGACGTGGTAAAATCATCACTAAATCAGGTGCATGGGTCAGAAAATGTGTGTGGGTCAGAAAATCACTCAGGCTTATTATCTGAGATAGCATTTGAACAGAAAATGAGAACAGCCACACTTGCTTTGCTATTGGCTATCCAGCTGAGATCCACTTGGAAGAGATACAGCACATGGGGAAAAGGGCAACAGCTTCCACTGAGCTGATTTTTAGTTGCTGTTAGTTCTAAGAGTAGAGTTTGGAAGGAGCAGTGGACTATTGCTCTCTCCATCAACACGTAATTAACATTATTGGAGACCCCGGCATTCTTCATTAATTGAAAGCATGCCACCTGCACTTTTCTAGTGCAAGCCCTTGTACCAATGTGACACTTGCCAGATGTAGTGACCCCTGACTCAGTGTGGGGAGGCACAGACTTCTACACATCTATGAGGCCATGGTTCTCCCCCAAATCCTGCCTCGAGGTGGCATTCAGAATTGTGCAAAGTAATGTAAAATAATAACATTTCATGGCTACATCTGTTAAGCTTCATATCATAAACGTATAAGACTGCTGAGGAGGATGCAGCCTATCTAAAACTGAGAAAGCAAGGGAGAGCTGCAGTGGCAGTATGTCATATTGCAACACACGCTGCAGTCAGAGAAGATAAAGCACAGACCTTTGTTACTGCTTTCTGTTCATGGAAACAAGAAGACATTTAAAAAAATGAAAGTGATGCATCTTCATTTTCTTTGGTGGGCAGTCATGTCCATGGCAAAAAGAGCTACATAAAGTCAGCTGTGGTTACAGCATTTAGTCCAGCTATAGTTTTTTCAGTCTCAATAAATGCACGAAATTGAGGCAGAAGTGACTCCTCAATAACATTGCTTCTAAGCAATTGACAGCAGAGAACCAAGATATTGGCCTATGACAGCAAAAGAGAAAAGATCCAAGAAAGTTCCAGCTGTAACGTTATGTTTATTGCAGTTGTGCCAATTTCAAACACATTTCTTTTCCTATTCACTGCACTGTATCCCAATGGGGCAGTATGGCATGCACTCATGAGACATAGACCCTGCAAGAAACACAATGGGATATACATAGTTAGCCTAATGGGAAGTAGATGTTTAAGTTTAGATGTTTAAGTCAAGGTTAATGCTAATTTGCACCACTTGCTTAATAACTGAGATTGATAAAAGTGAATAACAGGATAAAAATACTGCCCTATGCCCTCCCCTGTATCTAGCATGTATGAATGTCACCCAGTACTTTGGACTCCATCCCATAGCTGAGCCAAAAGCTGTTAGGAAGGCAGAGCTGAACTGCGAGGAGTGATCCTCTGTTTTTACAACATAGTTCCTATTTGTCTCCCTGTCCATTTCAGCTGAGCTCCACTCATACACAGCTGTTTGGCTGCACTATTATTAGTGAGCCATTTACGTTTCTCATTAGTTTATTACACATGCAGAATTCTGTAAGTGAGATAAAAAGAAAACAAAAAACTGCTATTGATATGAAAATGGAGACTGGAGACTGAACCAACAGCATGACCAAGGAAGTTTCATGTTCAGTGGAAGAGTAAGGACTGACACACAATGGCATTCTGTTTCTTTCAACGCAATCACAACCAGCTCAGACAAAGATGCTCACTCTCATTACAGCAGAGCATGTATGGACACTGTCATGCTAACAGAAATGTTAGCTCAGCAGGAATTTGCTGAAGAGCAAAGCAAGGAAAAGCTGTTTATGAAAACTAAGAACTGTAATAGCTCGGTTTCACTTTTGCTTCATGCTTTCAACACAGCAACTGTGAAGCTGCAATCTGAAAAGGTTCTGTCTGCTTTCTTCTCTACAGAAGTCGTACAGACAAGCTTGCAAAATAGGTCTCCCAGGAATATATTCTGACTAAGAACGGAAAGAAAAGCTTTATATATGTGTGTGTGTGTATATATATATATATATGTATGAGCTATTCATTGAACCAGATCTGCAAAAATATGCTGCCTGAGAGGAATCCACTTCTTTTAACTAGCAATTTATATACCAGGGATTGAAAAAGTGTGGCTGTTCAGCTCCAAAACAGATCTTATAGGAAAAGCGACCAAATGAAAAGGAAACACCTGAAGTTGGACTTTTCAACGTGTGTAAATTAGATTTGTGTAGGGGTGTAAGGACAGTCAGGACCTTTTGGAGGGATCTGCAATCTGCTTCCCTTGTAATCTGAAAGGTCTGAGGTCTGAAAATGTTGATCTGAAAGATCTGTGTTCCTTCTGTGGGCCAGCCAAGCAGAAAGCTACTTTCACTCCTTTCAGAAAGCATTGGAAGTGTGTGCAGACACAGCACGACAGTTATCTGGCAAGCTGCAGTGACATGCCTCTCCAACACTACACTACTCCAACTGAGTATACCTTGTCTAACATGCTGGACATTCGGGATGAGTGACCTCCTGCATGCAAAGATTTGCTCCTGTTTCAGTCTGCATCAGTGACTGGGGGTTAGGAGGATGGAAAAAAGGAGTGTTTGATTTAATGAATGTTGAAAAAAAAACCAACTTAGAATCATATCATAGAATCACAGAATGGCCTGGGTTGAAAAGGACCACAATGCTCATCTAGTTTCAACCCTATGTGCAGGGTCACCAACCACCAGACCAGGCTGCCCAGAGCCACATCCAGCCTGGCCTTGAATGCCTCCAGGGATGGAGCATCCACAACCTCCTTGGTCAGCCTGTTCCAGTGCCTCACCACCCTCTATGGGAAAAACTTCCTCCCAATATCTAACCTAAACCTCCCCTGGCTTGGTTTAAAACCATTCTCCTTTATCCTGTCATTACCCACCCTCACAAACAGCCGTTCCCCCTCCTGTTTATACGCTTAGCTTTCTAAAAAATGCTGCTTTACTACAAGACAGCAATGGATTGCTAATTACTGATTGTAAAAAGAAATCATTGACTTGTATTATATGGACAATTTATGCTGCTTGCATGAAATAATTAAAAATTGCATCCATCTACTGATTTTTTACAGAATATTATCACATTCTGGCAGAACACAGTACATCTCCTGAGAAACTAGCTCACAATGTGCGACACCTCCTATCTCTGCCAATATTAGCTTTATGGATCTAGTAATAATATTATGCTAATAGCTGCTGATTGCTATTTGTGTACCAGACTGTTCCAATACCATGGTGATGAGCGTGCTGTTAGTGTCTGGAACAGATGGACAGAACACGAGAGATGTTTGCCTTGATTTTAAGACAAATAGGATTACCTGTTTCATTAACAAGGCTACATGAAAGCATGGGCAAAAACACGTGGTCCTATCACCATCTCCAGTTGCTGACAGGAAGAAAAAGACTGCACATTTGTTAAGGCACACATTTATGCCACAAACAACTTACAGTAACTTTCAGAGAGAGCAAATCTTTGAACCACAAGTAAAGCCAGTGCAGCCGTTTCATGCTGTTAAGAGTAGAAACTAAATTCACCACCTCCTGTTACTCCCTGCCAGGTGCACAGCTCCTTTCCAGCTCTTTGCAGAGGTGATTCTTGAGGCTGGAGATGGGGAGATTGCCTGTGTGTTGCTCAACACAATGATTCCTTGCCTGTTGATTTTAAGGATACCTCATAAAGACGAATTGCAACAGCTTCCATCCTCTCTGGAGAAAAGAATTCATTGAGAAAATCATTGAGAAAAGACTAATGAACACTCCTACACCTCATCTTTTCGATATGACAGAGATATAAGTAGAAAGGTCCTGCTATGTTGTTTCTTTAGCCAGAAGTCAAGATAGCAACTTTATTCTGCACTCTCTTCTTCTCATAGAAATGAGAAAGAAATACCATGAGACAGAAGGGAAACATTTTCACTGTAGTTTGTGCAGCTCTGTTTAGAATTAAGACCACAATATGGGAAAAAAAAATACCTCAGGGTAATATAGTATTATACAGTACAAGATATGATTCCATATACTGATTGTACTTAATGATTGAAAAAGCAGTTATGTAGGAAAGAAAGCTCCGACACAGAGCACTGGGGACATAACCATAACAACTCCTTTCCTATCTCAGTGAAAAGCCAAAAGAAGAAACTGGAATCTACTGCTTTCATAGAAGAGCTGCCAATTTCCCAGTGGTATCAGAAGCCAGTCATGTTTGGGAAGGAAATGACCTATTGCTGCACGGCAAAAGTAGCAGGTGCAGATGGCATATGAGCAACTTTCCCAATCACTGGGCTGCCAAGGTCACAAAACAGAAAACACAAAGGTGCACCAGTTACAAATGGTTTTAAGGACACTCACTCAACTCCTGCCAGGTTATCTACGGATTCTGAGAGCACTTCATTCTATTTGGCATGCAAAAAGGTATGAAATAAGGCCACCGACGCAGATGAGGTGTCAGATCACCGCAGTGATATATTTCCTCTTCCCACCACACACAAACCAAATTCTATAAATTACACATGTCAACAAACACTAGCAATATGCTGAAGCACCACAGTCGTTCAAACGAATGGTGGCAGTGCCTCGTCTTTAAATTTAATTGTCTGTTCATGCTGCCAGGAGTGCTCTTTGGAAGTGTCTGCCTGTCCTGCAGCACTGCCTGGCCTGCAGGCAGCTT